CTGATAGTCCAGCACACTTATCTCCTGCTTTTTCTTGAAGTCCAGTACAATCTTCACAAGTATCACAGTGAGCCATTGCCTCTTCATCTAGTATTCCTTGCAGCTCTTGATGACTGCTTTTTGTTTCATTCTTCTCCAAGCATAGAGATGGAACTGGGTTTGTGTTTCCTCCTGTTTGCTTATTCCAAGTCCTCCAAAATTTTGATGACCACTTACTAAAATTATTTCATCCCATGCCCCACCAAAGGACCATTGCTGTTGCCTCCCTAGCCTCTATCCCTGCTTTATCTATGACTTTACTAAACACTTATATCCTTCCTGTCTCTTTATCAAGGGAAGCTTCAGTTTTTATATTGACAACCAGTATGACTCCACTATCTGCCACTTCCTTTTTCTAACCACCTTCTTTGATTTTTCGTTTTGGACAGACTGTTTCACTGCCTCAGTCACTCCCATGACCTTGTCTTTACTAAACACTGTTCTCTTTATGATCTCTCATTTCTGAAATCTCTCTCTCTGATCACTACCTACTTTCTTTCAGCATCTCTGTCTTTCTCTTTCCTCTACCCTGTCACTCACACTCCTTTTGTGATCTCCAGTCTGTTAACCTTTCTGACTTCTCTGCTGCTCTCAGCTGCTTCCTTCCCTCCTTGGTTTCACTCCCTTTAGACTTAGGGGGTCTCTCTTTCCTCTCTATACTGTCCTCTGCACAGGGCTACTTTGGTTCCCTCGCAAGCCGTTCACTCTTCCCATCTGCTCCTCCAAATTTCCCTTCTTGTATAGTATATGTACCTCTGCACTTCTAAGCATCTCTGGAGAACATCCTGGGATCATGCAACTTAGCCCACTGCAAGTTCATTCTTTCATTGCTCAACTCTGCCTCATTCTTTTCTGAACAGCATTATTAACTTATATTAATGATACTAATTGACTTTTACCAATGCCTTCCTGCTCTTTTCTATAGTCAGTTCTTTCCTTAAACCTTCTTCCCTTCCACCATATGTCTTCTGTTCATAATCTAGCCACCATCTTCAAAAACAAACTTGACGTTACTGGCCAAAATCTTTCTTCTACCATTTCCTCTCATTTTTTTAACTTTCTTTGTTTTGGCTTCTAACTCTGCAGCCACTAACGGTAACATCCAGTCTCTCTCTTTTGGTGTAATTGTTCCCCCCTTAACTGACTTCTTTCTTTCTTTCTTTTCCTCCACATACAAGCTTATTTTTGTTTCCCTTATCTTTGACAAAATACTATCCTTCCACTGATTCTGCACCTACTCTTTGTTTTCTTCTTATCCCCATTTCTAGCATCTTAGGTGTGTCTCTAGTTTTATCCCTTTGTTCATCAATTTTCATGGTTTTGATATGCTGCTTTAATTTGGAGACCCAAAGACCTACCTCTTTCCTCCTCAGCCTTTAGCCCAATATTACATCTCAAACTGCATCCCTGACATCTCTGGGATATTAAGCCACTGTCTCAGATTCATTGATTCCAAGGCTGGATTTCTCTTTCCCACCTTGTCTTTTATCTGATACCTTTCCTGTCTCCAGGACCACAGTCTTGTCTGTTTTCTCTTCCATTCAGAACCACTGCTAATTCTCTTGCAGACTTTGTATAGTGCTTTCTCTTAAGGAATTATAGACTGTCCTCTCTGCTCCCTCTCCTGGCTGTGAAGACCATTTCCATTAATTGTCTCTCATCTTGATTATTGTAACCTTAGATTTGGGTGTGGTTTCCTCCCTCACTTGCCAGGCTGTCCAAAATGCTATGACAAAAGTACAGTCCCGCAATATTAATGATTTAAGATTTCAGTGGGGCTACATGTGTGTGCATTTAGGAACATGCTTCAGTTTTTCATTGAAGGATGAGAATACTCTGCATCTTGCAAAATTGAATGTTCTGTGCTTTGGTTGTCATTCTCCTACTTTTAGCAATGTTTATTCTGTATGAAACTTCGTACAACTAGATCAGTTTTCAGATGATATTTTCCTAC